TGGGTTCAAAAAACCGTCTCCCTTCCCCCATTCAATGCGGATGGGATACGATGGGACGTGGCCTGATTGATGGGACGCACCCTGCCTGGCAGAATGACGCCTAGTCGGACAGGACGTGGACTGGGTATGGCCCACCACTACCGCATGCCGGGCACGAGAAACAAGGCGCCACTGCGCCTAGGCGGCCCTCTGCTTTCCCAAGCGGAACTTGGAAAGGCCTGAACGAAGGGATCGCCACCCGGAGAGACCAACGGCTTCCTGAGTCGATCAAACAGCTCAGGTGAACACCGAGAGACAGGTAAGGAGTAGAGGGATGCCCCATGTGGGCTGTGCTGACTCCGTCATGAACGACGAGCATGGATCCCGGTCAGACATATCCGATAGGAGCTCCTCAAACCCCATCACTCGAGTCATCAAGGTAACGTTACTAACCCCCACTATTTCTTTATATAAACATTCATTCATCCATGCACGCATTCATTCATTCCATACATCTAAAGCATTGCATATGCAGTCAAATGCATCACAACGCTCCGTGTTGCGTCACGAAGCGGCAGTTGCCTTATTCAACATGAGCAACGACCAACCGGGGTTCGAAGGCCATCCCACGAAGGGCTCGAGGCTGCCTTGCGTCAAACAGAGCTAGGGGGGAAAACACAGATGAGCCTCGAATGGCCCTCGCCCAGTCTGTCCCGAAGCAGACAGGGTCATCTCAACCTTCTCGTTCGATCCTAACCTCGCCAAACCCATAGAATCTCCATCGAGGGGAGGCCAGCAGGCCACCCGGGTGGGTCTCCGAAACGACCCAGGCATCTGCTGGGTTGCAGGTTAAGGAGCAGTGGAGTGCCACATGAGGGCTATGCCGACCCCGTCACGAACGACAGACCCGGACTTCACTTGAATGTATCCGTTAGCAAGCTCATCGAGCGTGTTACTCGAGCCATCGAGGCAAGCGACGTTAGCTCAGCCCCTCCAGTTGTGAGAAACCATGGACAGGGTAATGCACAGAACTCAATTGACCCCTACCAAAGCCCAACGGGGCTCAAGACACCCAAAATGCCTCGGCTGCGCCTGGGTCTACGACTCCGACTCACCCGATCCGCCAGCGCGCCCAATGCCTGGATCCATGACTCCGACTCGCCCGATCCCTCGGTGCGCCAGATGCTTGGATCCACGAGTCCGTCTCGTCCGATCCCACGACGCGCCCGACGCCTGGATCCGCGACTCCGACACCCGATTTCTCGACACATCCAACACCTAGATCCGCGACTCTGACTCGCCTGAACCCACGGCACGCTCAATGCCCGGATCCACGAGTCTGTCTTGTCCGATCCCTTGGCGCGCCCGACGCCTGGATCCACGACTCCGATGTCTCGCCCAATCCCTCGACTACGACCAAACACTTGGGACCACGCTCCCACAAACGACAGGTCAAAAACCAAAAAAAGAAATTACGCCCACTGACAAAACCCCTAGGCGATTCTGCCCGAATCGCCCGGGGGTTCAGGGGCTACACCCACGGGTGCGCTCGCGCGCACCCACTGACGAAACAAAAACTTCCCCCGCCGGCAAACACGAAAAAATCCCAGACGATTCTACCCGAATCGCCCGGGGGCTCGGGGGCTACACCTGTGGGTGCGCTTGCGCGCACCCGCCGTCAAGATAAAAATCCCCTAGATGACTCTAACTGAATCGCAAAGGGGGCTCGGGGGCTCCTGTCGGGTTCATAAACCCGAGGTCCCTCATGGACCAGCTTTCCAACAAAGGCTCGGCCCAGCTGACAACATTGCAAACGACGCACAACTCCTGGGCTGGCCCAAAAACCTAAACGACAGACAGGAAGGGTGATCCAAATCTCCAACCGAAAGGCCGGGCCGAGGAGGAACGGTGCCCGCTTTCAACTCCGGCCCGCCTCTCCGACCGGAAGAAGAACAACGCTCACTTCCGACTCCAGCCCACCTTTGGACAGCCTCTCCGATCGGAAGGCCTGGCCAAACACCACTTCCGACTCCGACCCGCGTCTCCGACCAGGGATGCGCCGAACCCTTGCTCACAGCTCTTCTCCAACTGGCGCAATCAGAGCCGATTGGGACCAACCGACCGGGGATGCCCGCTCGGTAAGGACCAGGAAATGGACGGAGAAAGTAAGGCAGGGCACTCAAGTCAACTGCAATACCAAGGACCATACCCTGTACACCTGCAGGATAGTACCCTGCAACCTTCCTAAGCAGTGTTGTAGGCACCGATATTTTTTCTACAGTATTGTGGGCGCCATCAACTCCCATACCAAGCAAACACGGTAAAGGCTCCCCCACATGCCTCTGGGCATCAACAGTGTTGTGGGCGCCGACATTTACCGTACCAGACAAGCACATTAAAACCTCTTGCATGCCTCTGAGCATCAACATTATGGTAGGCACCGACGTCTGCCATACTAGAAGAAGACGACGCAACCTCCCACATGCATCTGACATTTAACAGTGTTATGGGCGCCTACAATCATCTTGTACCCGACGGCGTGGGCAACACGACTTAGCATATGTACACTCTCTCCCTCTCACTTGTAAGGCCATCCCCTTTATCTATAAAAGGGGATACGCTCTCTCTCAATAGGGGGATTGATCAGTTCACTAACACACAACAGCAGAACCACTAGGTTCAAACCTCGAGCACACGTTCAAACACATAGCACATAGCGGAGCTCTTGTCGCTCTCGGCCCTTCAGACCAGAGTCCGACAGAACCTCTTGTACCCCCATCTTTCTCCCTTCCGTTTGTAACCCCACAGCAAACTTCGAGCACCTGGGCTCAGGAATAAAGTCACCGGTCGACTCAAACTGGACGTAGGGCACGTTGCCTGAACAAGTATAAACCCTATGTCATTGAGTACTAGGCCACCTCCGATCACAACGTACAACAAAACTACAAATATTTACATGTTGGTCATTTTCTGCACCGACAATAAGTTTTATAAAATGCTAATGCTCCTATCAGGACGTCCATCCGTCTGGACGGGATGGACCTGCCTCATGCCGCGTGCCCCTGCGCCTCCCGCCTCGCGCCGTGCGCACCATGGGCCTCGCACAGTCGCTCCGGACCCGGCTCGTGTCGCGTGCACCCCGCGCCTCATGCCGCACGCCCCTGCGCCTCCCGCTTTGTGCCGTGCGCCCCTACACCACGCGACTCGCGTGGTCGCTCCAGACCCGCCTCACACCACGTGCGCCCCGTGCCTCGCACCTCGTGCCATGCACCCGGTCGTGCCTCACGCCACACGCTGCCCGCGCCTCGCGCTACGCTCCCCCGTGCCGCGTCAACTAGCCTCCATTGGGCTACAACAAGTAGATGAGCATATGTTGCAACCGTATGTTTCATACGTTTAGACGTATGTTTAATATGTTTCATCTGGATATTGCATGTGTGTGTCTCCAGATGTTGTATGTGTTTTAATCTGGATGTTACATATGTTGTAATGACTATACATGTATGTTGCAAGTATATGTTTTTAATGTTTCATCTGTTTTAGACGTATGCTACAAGTGTTTTATTTGCATATGTTTCAGTTGCTATATACATATGTTGCAAGCGCCTGTTCAAAATGTTTGATATTTTTCAAATGTATGATACACGTGTTTTATCTGGATATTGTATATGTTGCAGTTGCTATACACATATGTTGTAAGTGAATGTTGCAAATGTTTCACACGTATGTTCTAGAAGTGCTTCATGTTACGATATTAGTAGACGCAGGAAGCGGGCACATGCGGAGACGGCCCCGCGGGCGCAGCGGTCCCCACATGAGCGGCAAGCGAAGCAGGCGTGGGTGGTCTCCACCTGCATACGCATCAGCAGGCACGAGGTGCATAACTGGATGCGTAGACACACCAGCGTGTAGGGGCAGGTGTGCATGCACAAAATTGCATGCGAGGCAGGCGGGACAAACTTTTTTTATTTGGAAAAGACGGGACATGCTTAGCAGCATGGGTGGCGGGCGGACAGACGCGCACGTTCGGACGGGGGCTAGCATGCGGGCCCTTGCCACGCCGTTTATAAAAGAGAGGCTGCGTTGTCAAAAAAAAAAACTATTATCAGCCGTTGATGATGCAAAAAGTTAATTAATTTCGATTCAAAAAAGTTAATTAATTATATTTGAGGTATTTTATTTGTACTTTGACTTTAGTCTCTAATGAAGGCATGAAGCAATGGTTTTCTTCTAAACGCACGATCTGCAGCTCGCGATTTTGCCCCATCGCCGCCGGCTGCCTGCCCCTGCCTACTCAGAGTCGTCGTCGCCCACCTGTTAAAGGTCGCCGTGGCTTGCCTTCATGGAGCCCACTAGCGGACGCATGCCACCCTTGTCGCTGCCGCTTGCCTGCCTGCAGACAAGGCGCCACTGCCCACCTGCTCGGCTTCAAATGGATGGGGAAAGATGGCAGGGACGGGAGGCGATCGCGAGAGGCCGATGCGCTCCCCAGGGTCGGCATGGTTGCATAAGAAGAGGGAAGGGAGCGCCAGCAAGAAAGGGGATTGACGGCCGCCGTCGCCGAGAAGACAACGTCCGTGGCCAGTGAGGGTTCAGCTTTGCATTGTTTGAGTTGGATCGAATCAGATAAACCTAGTTATGTAAGTACAATTATACCCTTTAAAATACATCTGTAATTAGTTTCTAGTCCATTAATTTATTGTTTCCACTCACGACTTAAGTTCTTTTCAATTAGGTTCTCCGATTTTTCCAAGATCTTGTTGAATGAATGGTTGTCATTTTTTCCAAGCACCATAAAATTTCTCTTATTAAAAACAATATAAATGCTAATCCTGTCACTGCTTATGAAAAGTTTAGTGAACCCTTGGAATTTAAAAGTTTTTTCTCCGGTAAATAAAAACTACGCTCATGCCGAATGAGAACCTCCGATAGCTTGAAGTAGCCTTGGCATTGGAGGAATGTCTAATTCTATTAAACCCTCAAGAACTTGAACCACTTCATCCATCGTCGGTAGATTGAGCTCATTGTCTTGAATGCACCAGCAAGCAACCAAACAAAATACAAACTCTTTCAGCTTCGTTTAGATGGACATCGCCATGTAACTTGTCATCCACCAAGCTTCCAATATCTCCCACAAGAAGCTTGCTTGCAACTTGCACAGGGAAATAAGTATCATCATCACCAGTAGTGGTACATTCTCTATGTGAGTTCTTCCTTCCCGAAACAATTTCCAATAAAAGCATTCCATAGCTGTAAACATCAACTTTTGGTGTGATTGCCCCTCCGCTAATCCATTCAGGTGCAAGGTATCCTATGGTTCCTCTTATTGTAGTTAAAGCCCTGCTGATCTCCCTACCTAAAAACTTTGCCATTCCGAAGTCTGCAATTTTGGAGATGAATGATTCGTCTAGAAGTATGTTTTGAGGTTTCACATCACAGTGTATAATACAATCTCGACAGCTCTCATGCAAATAGGCTAGTCCTCTAGCAATTCCTAGAGCTATTTGGTACCTAGTATTCCAATTCAAAATTTCAGCATCACCTGAGGATAGATGAATGTCAAGGGAACGGTGGGGCATATATTCATAGACAAGCAATTTGCTGTCACTTCTGCTGCAAAACCCAATTAACTTAATTAAATTTATATGTTGGGTAAGTCCAATTGAGCTAACTTCAGCCCTGAATTGTTTCTCTCTTTGACATGCACCATCAAGCCTTTTCACTGCTATTGTTGTTGAGTCACTGAGAACTCCCTTGAATACTGAACCAACTGCCTTCGCCTAGCTTTTCTGTGAAGTTTTTTGTAGCATGCTGCAAATCAGTATATCTAAAAGGAACAATTCCACTACCACCTTGAGCAGTTCCAGTGTGAAGTTGTACCTTTTCCTCTTGTTCCTCGAAATCATTAGTACCAGACTATGGATTTAGTGGCTTGGTCAAGATGACAAGGTTGCCACTATCAGAGATTTAGAGCTCAGATGTGGTGTGATCTGTGAGCGGGTTGTCACCGTTTGCAACCCATACTTGAGTGAAATTGGGAACTTTGTTAAACCAAATACCTAGGTACCAGTTCAGTGTGTTGTTGGAGGACTTACTGCCTGTCTGGAAGATGCCAAGTGCATACTTGCCATTGCTGGAGACGAGCTTGTCGCTGCCAACAAGTGCTTCACCAGGTGCGATGGTGTCTGTGGCAGCACAATCTTGTAGGATGTATAGGAACAAGAGAAATCTGCAGAGGGCGTGGAAGAGGGGCATGACGAAATGAAGGACAAGGGAAGCTGGAACAGATAGGGTGTATGATATAGATGATAAGCATTAGGTAGAAACAATGAACTATACATGTAACACTCGGCAACACAGTTGGTGAAGTTGAGGCTTCTTCCCAGTTGGTTCTGGAACTACAAAATAGTATGGTGATGCGTGCTGATAGTGTTACATATCGTTAATTTACCTGTCAAGTGGTGTCATTTCATTGCTGGACTAAATAGAGTATTCAACATACTGCATCGAGCTTTCCCATCATCAATTCGTCAGTATTAAAAAAAACTCGGCAGTACACACTGCATGCCATCAGCAGTTCAAGCTGCGCAGAGTATTTAACCGTAGTATTATATTCTTCCAAATACACCGCTTCTCAGACTACTTCAATACATTATTGCTCAGTTAAAAAAAACATTATTACTCCATGTATCAGCGTATGTACCTGTAGGGTGGTCCCAACTCCTCACTACTGTATTGTTCATTATTTTGAATGCTTTTGTTGTTAGATATAAACTTTGATAGATCACGAGCAGGAACACAGAAGGGTTGGATGTTAATAACAATAATTGTTGATCTCATCATTTCCCATCCCAATTGACAGTCGAAGTGGCATACATAGAGGCTCGTTTATGACACATTTATATTACTACATTTATTTGTATGGCAGGACCTATTGGCACATAGAAACCAGACATGTTACAAATATTAGGGTACATAGAAATATTGTACGTTACAGAAAACAGATTTATTTTTACACTACAAGACAAAATATTGCATGTTACATAAAACAAATTTATTTGTACACTACAAGACAAATTTATCTCCCATCCCAACTGACATACTTCTCATTGATTGTAGGATTTGCTGAAAAGCTATAGATCACACTCTCGTCTGATGTGGGCTGCTTCCTGCAATAGCACTGAGTAGCCTTGGCATTGGAGGCATTTCTAGTTCGCATATTCCCTCGAGAAACTGTACCACCTCAATCATCGTGGGCCGATCATGTAAAGTAATCTGCTGCTTCCAAAGCGCGTGTTCAGTTCTAAAAATATTTCCAAAAAAGTGCTACAGTACTCGTCACATCGAATCTTGCGATACGTGTATGTAGCAGTAAATGTAGACGAAAAAAAACTAATTGCACAGTTTATTTGGAAATCGCGAGATGAACGTTTTGAGCCTAATTAGTCCATGATTGAACACTATTTGCCAAATAAAAACGAAAGTGCTACAGTACCTAAATTCCAACTTTCTCTCCAACTAAACACAGCTTCAGGTCTGCACGCGCAACAGGGGCAGACGCCAAAAGTGCTCCCTGCTGTTGCACTATAGCCGCGGCAGAGGCAGGCGTCGAAAGGCTCCCCTGCCGCGCTGTAGCCACAGCAGGGGCATGTACCAAAGTCAGCACTGCTGTCACATCTAGTCACTATAGCAGCTTGACATGTCTATGTACTAGGATTAGATGAGTAGAGTTGTATTTATAGCTTTCCACTGTAACTCAGTAAAGAGAGCGAGTTCAGTTTTACCATCTCCTCTATAGAGCTTCGGCCAACGCTGGTGCTTGTGCTGTATGTGTGTGCGTTCTGTTCTTCCTTTCTTCTTTTACCTCTAGCCATAGTGTGTGGTTGGCAATACCGGTGAGCGGTCGGCTCACCCGTGCGGAGATTCTGGGCCAACAAGTGGTATCAAAGCCGTACAAGCGCCGTCGTCGAACTAACCGCTGGCGATGATGGACGGTTTGAAGATGGACGACAGCAGCGGCGCTGCTATGGCTGCCCAGCCATGACAGGAGGTCGTCATGCGCACGGTACGGGAGGTCAGCGACACCAGTTGGCCGACGCTGACTCGCACCAACTATGGCGAGTGGGCGGTGACTATGAAGGTCAACCTCAAAGCCCGACGGCTCTAGAATGCTATTGACAAGGGCACCGACAACGAAGAAGACGACATGTCAGCATTGGAGGCTATCCTCGATACTGTGCCAGCGGAGTACAGGGAGCCATTGGGGGCGAAGAACTCTGCTAAGGAGGCGTGGGAGGCCATTGCAGCGATGCGCGTCGGTTCCGACCACACAAAGAAGGCGACGGCCAAGCTGCTGAAGCAGGAGTATGCCACCCTCAAGTTTAAGGATGGTGAATCGGTGGAGGACTTCTCCCTCCGCCTGCAGTCGCTCATCAACAAGCTGAGGAGCCACGGCGTCACCATCGACGAAGAAGAGGCAGTCTCCAAGTACCTCCACTCCGTGCCGGTGAAGTACATCCAGATCGCTCTTTCCATAGAGACGATGGTGGACTTGTCCACCCTCACCATTGAGGATGTGACAGGCCATCTGCGGGCGGTGGACGAGCGTATGGAGCAGGCCACAACAACAACGGACAACGACAAGCTGCTGCTGACAAAGGAGGAGTGGTCAGCCCAGAGGAAGAAGTCCAGGGAAGCCTCCTCCAGCCACAGCGGCGATGGCAAGCGCCGCGACAAGGCTTCTTTATAGAAGAAGAAGAAGGTCGACCCCAACACCTCCCGGCGCTGCGGGAAGACGGGCCATTGGGCAAAGGAGTGCCCAAATCACAAGCAGGAGAAGAAGGCTGAGACTCATTTAGCGCAGGCTGATGAGGATGATGAGACCACTCTCCTGATGGCGACATTCTGTGCACTGCATGACATTAAGGCCGAGGAGAAGGGAGTGGTGATGGCGATGGAAGGGCCCGGTAATGCTCTAAAGGCTGTCCACCTCAACGAACCGAGCGCCCAAGTCCACCTCGGACATGTGGGCGGCGGACAAGAGCAGTGGTGGTACCTGGACTCCGGCGCCAGCAACCACATGATGGGCTCCAAGGAAGCCTTCTCCGAGCTTGACGGCAATGTGACCAGCACGGTGAAGTTCGGTGACGGCTTAAGGGTGGCGATCCAAGGGCGCGACACCATCATCTTCAGGTGTCAGAACGGTGAGCACCGCACGCTGACGGATGTGTACTACATCCCACAACTACGTTCAACCATCGTCATCATCGGGCAGCTGGACGAGCGCGGATGCGAGGTACTGATCGAGAGCGGGATCCTGAGGATTCAGGATCGGGAGCGGCGTCTTCTCGCGAAGGTAAAATGCTCACATAATCAATTGTACCTGCTCGACTTGAAGGTGGAGTAGCCGGTGTGCCTGGCAGCATGGCACACCGAGGAGCTATGGCTGTGGCATGCCCGGTTTGGCCATCTCAGCTTTGACGCGCTAGGTCGGCTAGAGAAGATGGTCCGACGGCTGCCCCACATCAAGCACGCAGGCGAGCTGTGTGACAGCTGCATGGCTCGAAAGCAAAGGAGGCTGCCGTTCCCAAAGGCGGCCAAGTATCGCACGACAGACGCTCTCAAACTCGTCCATGGCGATCTCTGCGGGCCAATTGAAAGGTCTTTGTGTAGTTTTGGTAATTGAATGACAGCCTAGGTGGACTAATTGTGTTTATGTGAGATACACAGGTGATTAGTCCACATGTACATGTGTGTGAGCAACATATGCCATGAAGGTAAAAATGGCTCGGAGATGTTGCAAAGCTCACACATGTGATGATGAAGGAGCTCATTGCACATGAGACATGACATTGAATCATGTGATCATGGTGGAGAAGATCAAGACAAGACTTGGCTTGATGGACCAGTTGCAAGCGTGAAGGGCAAGTCGGAGGCTTTGGAGCGATGGACCGCGTGGCGGTGAAGCTTGAGCAAGACTTGGCGCCGATGGACGAAGGCAATGATGAAAAGCAAGTGAAGTCAAGATCGATGAACCAATATGATCACGTGATGATATGAAGTGGATCATATCATTATTGATCGTGTTGGTGCATGTGTTGCATCGACATTGGAGGAGATGGAATGGAATGCGCAAGGCAAATGTATAACCTAAAGCATTTTATTTCACCGGTCATAGGTGTGTAGAGAAATTGATGACCGGGTTTAGGATAGATGGCCATACAATTAAGAGGGGCAAACTTGTTTACATATCTGTCATCTAGTGCTAGTTGAGTGATCTAACTTTGCATTGTCGCAAGGATCGAGTGGAGTGGCAAGTTGAGTGGCTAATCCTTTGGAAAATGATTATGAAAATGCTAACACACATACACATGGTGGTGTACACTTGATGGTGTTGGCACATTTACAAAGGAGAAGAAGTTGGAGTTGATGTGGATTAACTCGGCGAAGAAACGGAGGTGAAAGGTCACTGTGAGTGACCAGATGCAGGCCTCGGCAAGGACCGGCATGTCCGGTCAGTGGCAGCAGTGAGCGCGCGGTCTCGTTCTCATGACCGGACACTGGTGTGAAAAGTGATCGGACGCTCAGGGCCTGCGTCCGGTCAGTACTGACGTACGCTGACGTGGTGGCATGAGGAACTACAGTGACGCATGGCACTCGGAGAATGACCGAACTCAGGTGCTATGTCCGATCGTGCAGGAGCGGACACGTCCGGTCACAAAATAGAGGCTCAGGGAGCTCTCTAGAAACGACCGGACTCTGGCTGGTCTGCGTTCGGTCATGCAGCAGCAGACGCGTCTGGTCGTGACTGGAACCTGTCTAGAAATGACCGAACTCGATAGAGGTGCGTCCGATCTTAGCACTGTGCTGCGTCCGGTCATCACTTGACCGTTGGCACGCGGTAGCTGACCATTGAAATCAAACGACTAAGGTTGAGTGGAGGCGACTCGTGGCGTGCATCCATTGACCGAAAGCTAGGCCGGGTGCGTCCGGTCGATCTGACCGGAGCGTCCGGTCACCCGAGCTGTGCCCAGTGAAGGGGTACAACGGCTCTATTTTCGTGGGGGCTATAAATAGAAGGTGGTCTCGGCCATGGTAGGAGCTGAGCACACTAGAGCCTTGGTGGCTTATGTGGTAGTGCTTGGGAGCCCTCTAACTCACTCTAGCTTGATAGTGTTCATCCGATTGAGTGAGTGAGTGATTCTAGTGCGATTGCATCATGAGGTTGCATCGAGTGCCACTAGGTGATCGAGTTG